CAGCATGGCTCCACAAGCAGTGTGTCAGTGCGCACCCGGGATCTGAACTGGCAAACCCCGGGCCGCTGCAGCGGAGCACGCACACCTAACTGCTTGCACCACTGGGCCGGCCCCTCTTATTCTCTATTTTTTTAATGTTAGGATTTTAGTTATTTCACAAGATTTGGTACTGTTGGACCACGAAAAAGCAACCATAGCATTAATCACTGCCAACTTAAGGCTCACTTTTGGAATATGCTTTTTACATATCGGCATAAAGGGAATTTCTAAGATCAATCAGATTTTTCACTTAATGTATAATATTTTTTAAAAGGGTGTTCCCACAGGAGAGGATTTTAGGCTCTACTATGTAGTAAAACTCAGTGATAAATGAAGTAGCCTTGGCGAAGGCACTGTGGGATGAACAGCTCTTGGGTACTGTTCCTGGGAGGATGCAAACTTTCTAGAATGGAATTTCGCGATATATATGTTAGTAGCCCTAAAAGAAACAGTTTATGCTGTTGTTGTAATAATTACATTTCCAGGAGCCTGTTCTAAGGAAAAATTAAAGTTCAGTAGAAAGATTTATATATAAAAAGATTCATTACAGCTCTTTTTATGTTAGCGATAAAAATTGTAAAATACTAAATGTCCCTTAATTTTGTTTAATTCATTTAATACTATGTGGCCATGATTCAGCTTTTTAAAAAATACTCTTGATGTGTGAAAATACTCAAATGTTAAATGGAAAAGGACATAGACTTGAGGTATAATCCCAATATTATGGAAAATTTATGCATATGGATAGATGGGGTTTTTTTTGACTCATAGAACAAAGATTACAAAGAAATAATTGAAAATGTTTTTGGTTCTTATCTGTTGGTGTGATATTACAGGTGCTTTGTTATTTTTGTCTTTACAATTTCTATGAGCATGTATATAACATATATATACACACACACACACACACACACACGTACACACACACACCAGGGGGAAAGGGTTTTTTTTAAACATAATAAAGCAGACTTCCTAAGTTGCATATTTCACATGCAAATATTTCTGTTGGGCTTCCAAAACTTGAATTCTGTGCTATAGGTTTTTTCCTTGAGACTAGCCCTATAGGACCTGCACAGTATTCACCATTTTAAGTAAAAGTTCACTGTTTAGTTACAAATTGGTTCTGTGAGTTCATGTATAAACTTTGTAAGTAGAACATATTCATGGTGGTATACCCAGCTGTCTTCAATACAAGCATTTACTTTTGCAACTGTTAAATAGGTGCTAAAATGATAGGAAGAGGGACCTTCTCTAAAAGGGCCACCAACCTACAGTGGGTAGAAAATTGAAGAACAGAGGAGTAAAAATCAGCTTAAAATTTAGGTTGGTTTCAATTTGAAAGAAAAAATACCATTTGCTTTCTAAATTAAGAATAAAGGTCATTGGGCCGGCTCCGTGGCTTGGCGGTTAAGTGCGCGCGCTCTGATGCTGGCGGCCCGGGTTCGGATCCCGGGCGCGCCCCGAGGCACCGCTTCTCCGTCCAACGCGAGACCGAGTCCCACGTACAGCAACTGGAGGGATGTGAACCTATGACATACAACTATCTACTGGGGCTTTGGGGGGAAAAAAAAAAAAAAAAAAAATCTTTAAAAAAAAAAAAAAAAAGAATAAAGGTCATAAAAGTTCATTCATTTAGTTGCAAAATATTATGCACAGCTAAACTAGGGTGGAAAGAGCAAGACGTGCTAAAAAGGAAGAATGAAAGAGAATAGGGCCGGCCCCGTGGCTTAGCGGTTAAGTGCACGTGCTCCGCTGCTGGCGGCCCGGGTTCGGATCCCCGGCGTGCACCGACGCACCACTTCTCCAGCCATGCTGAGGCCGCGTCCCACATACAGCAACCAGAAGGATGTGCAGCTATGACATACAGCTATCTACTGGGGCTTTGGAGGGGAAAAATAAATAAATAAGAAAATAAAATCTTTAAAAAAAAAAAAAGAGAATAAAATTAGCCACATTAATTGAAAATGATGTGAACTATTTAGAAACCGCAATCATGGAAGTTTTAATAATTGGATAATAGTTTGAGGCTAGGGAAATTACAGAATAAAATTTATTTTTTTCCCTTCAATATAAAAAATAAAAGTTAATAAGGCAAACTTTTTTATCTGTAAAATGTGATGTTTCATATTTGTATAGTAATTCAGGGCTTATATAATGGGAAATGTAAGCAGAGAAGCAGTGTACGTTGTGATTAAGAACACAAACTTTAGAATTAGACCTGGATTCAAATCCTTACCAGACTCGGAGCTGTGTGACCTTGGGCTAATTACTTATTGTCTGAGTTTTTTTTTCCATCTATAAAATGGTGGTGGAATACTTCTTTATGCCCTTGAGAATTAAATGAAATTATTTTAAAGCAAAGTCACACAGAGACTGCCTGAAACATGGTAAGTTTACAATGATCATATCTTCTTTAAAAATTTACATTCTTTTCCCCTAATCTGTGTTGGTGTTTGAATTATTAGATGTTATAGAAACCTAAATCTGGAATATCTAATTTTTAATTAAGACTTCATCGCCTGATTCTTCCAATGAAAATTCCCCGGCAACTCCCCCAGATGAACAAGGTCAAGGTGATGCCCCACCGCAGCTTGAAGATGAGGAACCTGCATTTCCACATACTGACCTGGCAAAGTTAGATGACATGATCAATAGGTGAGGTGATTATGTTTTGTTTTTTAATATGTGTAATACACTGGAAAACCAACTGAATTTCTCAGCATAGTAATTAGTAATAGATAAGAACAGAGACAGAGTGAACAGGAATATCACAGTAACCATACTGCCTCCTTAATATAATATCTTCTTCATTGCCAAGTACTTTGTAACCCATGGTTCTTACTGGATTTTAAAAATGAAAGGGAGTAACAGTGTCATTAAGTTTTTGAGATTAATGACGACGCTAGCTGGTGTGTTTCTGAAATAGAACCGTATGTGTGATTTTCCTTTTTGAGAGTTTATGAAGATTTTTTTCTTATTGGTATGTTGGTTGCTAGGGTTGCTAGATGACCTAAATAATTTTTGCATGGCCCTGAGGTAAACCAGGTCATAACTAAGTTTTTTGTTGTATTTCACTTTCTAAAAATCAGTTAACACTCTTACATATAATGGCAGGGCAAATAGAAACGCTTTGCGTTTTTGGTTTGTTTGTTTTGTTTTGTTTTAATTCTGATTGCGTAATTATGCATTGTTAAACATAGAAATATATTATGTTGATAAAGTTCTCTATAATTTCCTGCTTATGTACACACATCCCAACCAAAAATTACTAACAGTCAGGAATATGTTCTTCCAGAATATCTTTGCATTTACCATCACATGTATTGATTTTTCTACAAATATGAGATTCTAACTATAATATTATTTTATAACTTGCTTTTCTCACTTCATTTATCTTGAATATTTGTTCTATTAATAAATGTATATTTAACTCACTGTTTTTAATGGTTTTTTTGTGTGTGTGTGAGGAAGATCGGCCCTGAGCTAACATCTGCCAATCCTCCTCTTTTTTGCTGAGGAGGACTGGCCCTGGGCTAACATCCATGCCCATCTTCCTCCACTTTATATGGGACACCGCCACAGCATGGCTTGACAAGCGGTGCGTCAGTGCGCGCCCGGGATCCGAACTGGCGAACCCTGGGCCGCCGCGGTGGAGTGCGCGCTTAACCGCTTGCGCCACCGGGCCGGCCCCTTTAATGGTATTTTTGAAAGAACACATTAAATGTGATTCTGGCAGATTCCTATAGTAGTGGTATATAATGAATTATAGTTAAACAAACAAAAACCATATAAAGTTGTTTGTAGTGTCCCTGACCATTCTCTATAGCAGAGACATCATAGCAAAAGGTTGTACACTGTTGCTTTTTGATTTTTGTCTGGTGGTTGGTGATTGTTAGTAAAGTGTACTTATGGAGATTCGAGGATGAAGTTGCATATTAGCAAATCCTCAGGGGAAGAGAAATACAATTGATGTTTTTTAAATAAAAACGATGACAAAGGTGTAATATACGTTTGCTTCTAATTATGTGATCATGGAGCGCTTTTTATCCAAACGGGTTTTTGGAGCAGTCAGTGAAGTTGAGTGATGGTAAGGAAAAAGATGGACTCCCAGATGATTGGGCTGCCACTAGGATCAGAGAAAACCCCACCTGGGTGTATGCTGCATCTTTGAGGGAGGGAGGGAGGGTGCCTGTGGAGTTATAGAGACTTGGAGACCCACGTCTCACTTAACTTTAGGAAAAGTTGATGAATTATGATGAATTGAGGCAGAAATCAGTCATCTGCCACCGAAATTTTTTCTTTGCAAGGAAGTTAAAGACATCTGAGAGGTTCATCTTAATGTCTCCTCTAACCTAAATCCTGAAAGAGCACTTTCCTATGAACTGTAATAATAGGTATCCATTTAATTGATAATTGATTATTATAGTAGTTTTATGTTCTGTTATTAAAATAATTTCATTTTTTTCCCCTCATTGCTGTATCTTTTATTTGACAGTTCCTTAAAAAAATCTTTTTGTAGAGACAACAGATGGCGCTTAGTCCCACAAAGCAGATATTCTGTGAACCTTGGTTTAATATTTTAATGTTATTTTAATATTTAATATTTTCATGGTGAGGTGAGTAATTAGTAACTCATTTATGGTGCCTCTTTTAGTGTGCAGCCAATAAACATCTTTTTATATTATTAAAACTCTTAGGCCTCGATGGGTGGTTCCAGTTTTGCCAAAAGGGGAATTAGAAGTGCTTTTAGAAGCTGCTATTGATCTTAGTAAAAAAGGTAAGTTTAGATGTTGTTACGCTTTCCATAATGTATGCTACTAGATATGCTTTCACTTCATCCCTGAAGACTTTGTTTTCCTCTCTTATAAACACTTACTGTATATTCCTAGATTAGAACATCTAACTAAGCTTTCTTGCTATGGCTTATGATATATATCTAGAGCAAGGGTTTATATCCTTTGGACAGCCTTCAAGGGTGTTTGTGAACTCTCTGAAGTTATACATAAAATCTGTGTATATTAATATTTAAAGTAAACTCTCTGGCTTATATGTTGATTATTTTTTTAATACACAGAAAATCTTTGATTTTTCTCTAAAAGAAAAAAAGACTTGAAAGATGAGCTCCTATGTTTTTTAAAAAAATAAGCCAATAAAAAGGAATCTGGTGGTTTTTAATCTGTTGTCTAGAAGTAAAGGCTTAATGTTAGAATTAATCATTATTTTTTCCAATGACTTTGGTCTACTTTAGGTGCAGTTGAATTCTATTAGCAAAGGACTACTTCATAATATTGTCATTTTTAAGGCATTGGACATTAAAATAAGTGGCAGTAACATTTCAGTTTCTGAAATGGGTAGCCAGGGATGTGTTCTGACTATCAGTAGGCATTATCAAAATTAAAATTGATTATTGTAAAAATTAATATCTTTGGTACCTTACTTAAGTCTGTCTCACTCCATGGCAAGGGTAAAATTTCCTTTATCTTAGAATAATTACCCTTCTTCCTTTAAAGAATGTCTTTATGCCTTATTAATTATGTAAAAATAATCTAATATACTATGAAAATGCATTATCAGATTACAATTATTTTCCACCGGTCAAATTTCTTTTGTTCATTTACACATTTATTCGTCAATTCAGCAAATTTTTTTAATTAAAGAAATATTTTATTGAATAAATTTGATGTATAACATTGTGCAAGTTCAAAGTGTACAACATGTTACTTTGATACATTTATATATTATAACATGGTTGTCAATGTAATGATATTTATCACATTACATAGTTATAGTGCAATATTATTGTCTATATTCATTATACTGTGCATTAGATCTCTGGCTTATTTACAGCTTGTTAGAAGTTTGTACTCTTAAACACCAACACTTCTTATTCCCCTCCCCATCCCCTGGTAACCTCCAATTTACTGTTTTTTACAAGTTTAACTTTTTTAGATTCCACATACAAGTGATATCATACAGTACTTGTCTTTCTCTGTCTGACATATGTCACTTAGCATAATGTTCCCAAGATCTATCCTTTTTTTTGCAAATGGGAGGGTATCTTCCTTTTTCATGGCTAAATAATAGTTCATCATGTATCTTGTTATCCATTCATCCATCAATGGGCATTTGAGTTGTTTGCATATCTTGGCTATTGTGAATAATGCTACGATAAACATGGGAGTGCATATATTTTGTCAAAATCCTGTTTTCATTTCCTTTGGGTATATACCCAGAAGTAGAATTACTGGATGGTATGGTAGATCTATTTTTCATTTTTTTTTTTTTTTGTGAGGAGGACCAGCCCTGAGCTAACATCCAATGCCAATGCTCCTCTTTTTGCTGTGGAACACTGGCCCTGGGCTAACATCCATGCCCATCTTCCTCTACTTTATATGGGACGCCGCCACAGCATGGCTTAACAAGCGGTGCGTCGGTGCGCACCCGGGATCCGAACCGGCGAACCCCGGGCCGCCGCAGCGGAACGTGCGCACCTAACCGCTTGTGGCACCGGGCTGGCCCCTATTTTTCGTTTTTTGAGGAGCCTCCATATTGTTTCCCATATTGGTTGGGTCACTTTACATTTACATTCAGCAAATTTTTAAAGACTTCTGTCCTAGGCATGTTCTAGGTCCTGACTGTACAGTGATAGGTAAAAACACATAATGGTGTTTCATTTAATATTATTGACATTCACCAGACATGTATCTCCCTTACCTCCATATTTCTTTTCTGGGACCATGGTTTATTTTAGGCAAGGTTCAGATTTGTTAAAGTACAGTACTGGGTTTAAATGTCATCTTGTGTACAATTAAAATCAAATAATACTTTATATACAAATTGAATAGCTTTTCATTTTGTCATCAAGAGTTAAAGATTTTGTTTGTGTTTGGGGGCTCATGGCTCTGTTGCCATTCTCAAATCAGATGAAATTAAGCAAAGATGTAAGAAGCATAGATGCTGAGACAGTGAAAGAAACTAAGGAAGACAAGATAATTCATCTTATTTGATAAAACACTTATATAGAATAGTATAAGGATATTGATGTTAAATGGATAATTTACAACCAAAATAAGATTTTAAAAACAGTTGTGAAACATCATTTTTTTAAGTTTTAAGGTTTATTTCCAGATAGTAAAATGCTATGAAGTATTTAGATTCCCTATCACATGGTACTGGTAGCCATTTTGTGTTTAAGGTCCAGTGTCATAATTTGAAATATTTTCTGTTTTTATTTATTTATTTATTTTTTATTTTTTTCCCCCAAAGCCCCAGCAGATAGTTGTATGTCATAGCTGCACATCCTTCTAGTTGCTGTATGTGGGACGCGGCCTCAGCATGGCCGGAGAAGCGGTGCGTCTGTGCACGCCCGGGATCCAAACCCGGGCCGCCAGCAGCGGAGCGCGTGCGCTTAACCGCTAAGCCACCGGGCCGGCCCTGAAATATTTTCAATTCATCTTAATATTATTTGGTTTAATGTACTTTTATACAGTTAAGTATTTTTGAAATTCATTGAAGATTATTTTTGTTTTGAATCAGTTAACCTTTTTGACACATAGGAACTTTGATAATACTTGTAGTATAATTAAGTTACCTTTTTGACCTCTTATGATAGATAATGCTCTGAGTTTTTTCCCAAAGCTAGTCTGTATTTGTTAGCTGTCAGTGAATAGTTAACAATTATTTGTTAGCTTTTATCATATAATTGGACGTTGAAAAGACCATCAGAGAAATATTTTGATTACATTAATTTTTCTCTCCTTTTCTTAGGCCTTGATGTTAAAAGTGAAGCGTGTCAGCGATTTTTTCGAGATGGACTAACAATATCATTCACTAAAATCCTTACAGATGAGGCAGTGAGTGGCTGGAAGTTTGAAATTCATGTGAGTCTTGCATTTGACTTAAAAAAATCAGATTTACATAGTGATGCCTGTGTGTTTTCTCATTTATATATATATAAAATGTGTATTTGGTCTGTTAATTGAATTAAAAGGTCTAAAAATGAGAAACTTTTAAAATAGTTTTTATAAATTATAGTGTCTCTTGAAGAAAGTATGATCATTTAGAATGAGTGTGAGATTTATAGTTAGAAAACTTTGGTTTAATCTGTCTCCTGGATTCTCAAGTGCCTTGTGACCTCAAGCAAGTCACCACATTTCATTGAAACTATGATGGTATCAATTTTGAGATGCACCACTCACTCATTTTATGTACCACTAAGGAAGAGAAACATCCAAGTTGGTGAGTCTAATATCTGGGACACAAAAGAGTCAATGCAGAGGAATGAACTTAACCATATAGAAAGAGACAGCAAAGAAACATGCATGTCCCAACCTTGGCACCTAGTAGACGGGGAAAGAAATCTCTTGAAAATTTAAACTACAAGACAGTATTCAAACAGTTTTGTAGTCTGAATTCAAATTATAATTGTGATACAAAAAATCCTCAAACAGAGAATTTAAAGTGGTCTCAGTTTGGTGGTGTCCCCAAGTGACTGTCGAAGCAAACACAGATCTTTCTCTACAAACACCTTCAGTCTACGAAAATGGACTATGCATTGATTATAAGATAGTCAGATTCCAGAGATCTTAAAGAGTGGAAAAATGTGCATCTTAGATTGATGAAATGCCATAATTACTCCAAGTCTCTGTTCCTTGTTTATACTGTGGAAATATGGTCATAAGTTGTGAAGGAGGTATTTCTGTGCTCTGAACTATTTCTCAAATATAACCATAGCATAAAAATCATAACATTTTCTGATTCAACATGTAACTTTATAAGCATAGAAATGGAAATTTTTGGAGGTGGTGTCAGACTTTTGCATTGAGGCTTACATAGCAAATCTACTCCTTGAACAATTGATAAATTGTTTAGATTTTAGAATTGCTGCCTCTAGTGTAGAAATTCCAAAGGAAAAGCAATGGTAATTTGCATCTTGTCTGTGGACATAGAGCAATCAATGCCTACTTCATTTTGTAAGGCATTACAAATGGCTTTTGAAAGTAAGTACAATAATGTATAAATTATAAAATAAATGGTAATTTATCTTTTTTGGTATATCATTTTGATCCTGATATTAGTGAAATTAAACATTCAAATGATTTGTATAGAAAAAAGATGATTATTAAGATATAATTAAGATAGGAAAATATTTCTTTTTGGAATTGCAATGTTTTGATCTTATAAATCACCTTTTTCCTTTATATAACAGAGGTGTATTATCAACAATACTCATCGCCTGGTGGAGCTATGTGTGGCCAAGTTGTCCCAAGACTGGTTTCCACTTTTAGAACTTCTCTCCATGGCCTTAAATCCTCATTGCAAATTCCATATCTACAATGGTACACGTCCATGTGAATCCGTTTCCTCAAATGTTCAGTTGCCTGAAGATGAACTCTTTGCTCGTTCACCAGACCCTCGATCACCAAAAGTGTGTTGGTTTGTTATTTTCAAAATTAAATATTACAGTCATTTTGCTCTGCCACAGAACTTTAAATGATCTGAACTTCCTGTTAATGTGGGGAAGAATAATTTCATATTACTGTAAAAGGGATTCTGCATTATTTTTTGTTTTTGAATCTTTTTCCCCCCTCAGCTTTATTGAGGTATAATTGACAAAATTTTTTTCCTTTCTTTTTTTTTTTCCTCCATGTAGTTAGTCCCCATTGTCTTCTGCCTAGCCTCTTGGGAAGTAGACATAATTTGGGTTAGTATGAAACAGACCATATTTTTCCTTTTAAATATGAGTAGAGTAGGAGGTTACTTCTTTGACCAAAGCCATGATCATTTTAGACATTCTAAGATTTTGACTCCAGGATCAAGTATATCCTATAAATGTCGAATAATGTGTTGTAAAAGTAAAATTATAAAAATTATAAATGAAAGCAAGTAGTAAAACTTAAATATCAATGAAATATATATATTATATACATAAATGTAAAAGTTCTCCAAAGTAAATTTTCTGTACCAGCATAGACAGAGTATACACTTAAAAAAATAGAATATACACTTTAAAAAATGTTTCTCTAAATAAACTATCCTCCTTTTAATACATATTAAATAATTAGCAATATATAGTTTTTAAATTTCAGATTTTAGGGAGACATTTTTAATATTATGGGCCTCATAAAACCAGCCAGGAAGATTTGAATTTATACATATAGTGCTTGGTTTATTCTATTAAATGTGGAAATCATCAGAGCCGGCTGGGTGGCGTAGTGGTTGAGTTCATGTGCTCTGCTTCAGCCACCTGGGGTTCGAGGATTTAGATCCTGGGCACGGACCCATGCACTGTTTATCAAGCCATGCTGTGGCATGCATCCCACATATAAAGTAGAGGAGGATGGGCACAGATGTTAGTCCAAGGCCAATCTTCCTCACCAAAAAAAAAAAAGTGGAAATCCTCAAAATGTGTTGAACTTGGAGCTGGGATTTTCTGACGTTTCCCAAGGTTCATGTTGTTTCCACTTCAGGCTTACTTTTGTTTGAGTAAATCAAATTAATATCTAAATGATGGCAGTCTCCAAAACATACCTGTATTTCTTTCTTATTTTACTTTGTTTTGCTCTGTAGGTGAGTAATAATCTGTAATAGACTCACAGGGAACAACTTGATTTAAGATGGTTTCTGGTTGAAGATATTTTTATATCTATCTTTGAAGCCTAGTTGCTCTTGAGTATTACTAATTACTGAGTATTCCTCATTGCTTAAATATGCATTGCAGCTGAAAACATATGGGAAGATTAGCTTTAGACTAATTCTTTACTTTGTGCACATATATTATTTTATATATATTATATGTAACTATTGAGTGTATCAGCCTAATAGTTTCATTCCAGTTGCTGGAGAAATAAAAATACATACAACATAATGAGTATGTACTTTCTTAGAGTTGCTGAATGCCCAAAGGGACCTGGTGAATTAAATGCTCAGATTTTTTATTGTTTTTAAATAGCTTGTTAAGACCAAATAAAAATGTAGGAAAATACTATAATTCTTAGAAATGTGGTAGTTGATTTATTAGAGAATTTAATTGATTTAGATTCTCATAAAATCATATCAAAACTACCCTTAGCTACCATATTGTCTTTTTAAAGCGGTTACCTTTTACTTAGCGTTTCCCTTTGTCCTGGACATGTTTTTTTGTTTTTGCTTTTAAAGAGCTGTAGAAGTTGTTTTGTCTTAAGGCTTAGTAGACAAATTGCCCATCCCCTCCCTTGTTTTTCCCTCCGTGGCCTTTTAGAAGAAAGCAAGGTATAAAGGGTTGTCTTGGGTACATAAGTTTTTAGACACATTTGAGTCTTATACAGTCAGCCCTCCATATCCATGGGTTCTGCATCCTCACATTTAACCAGCCACCTGTCAAAAGGCCTAGCGTGGTTCTGTCCATACTGAATATGTACAGACTTTTTTTCCTTGCCATTATTCCCTAAAAAATACAGTATAGCAATGATTTACGTAGCATTTACACTGTATTAGGTATTGTAAGTAATCTAGAGATTATTTAAAGTATGCAGGAGGATGTGCGTAGGTTATATGCAAGTACTATGCATTTTACATACGGGACTTGAGCATCCTCGGACTTGAGTATCTGCGGGGGGTCCTAGAACCAATCCCCCGTGGATACTGAGGGACAACTGTATCTATATAATCTTTTAATTCATTTTAAGTTCTTACATATAAGCATGCTTTTAACTACACAAACATTCCCTAGCCCAGCTGCATTGTATTTTGAGTTACTGCTGTTCCTTAGGGAAGAGATTGAAAGACAATCCATACTCTTGCATCGTGGTACCGCAAAGATGAGAACTGGGTGCATTCACATGAGTCAGCAAAAGTATCAACCAGCATGTTCTAGTTAGGAGCAACAGATATAATACCAGGGGTTAGTTTTTTTTTTTTTTTTTTTTTAATTTTTTTTTAATTTGTTTATTTATTTTTCCCCCAAAGCCCCCCAATCTTCCTATTTTGAGTCATTTAAATGAGACTATTTGTCAGT